TTATATTCCTCAAACTGATCATGCCGCCTCTTGACTGCGAAGAATATTGCGGTACACACATTTAAATTGTATCTTTTCAGGAGTTGTAAGATAGCAAGCATAATGCTTTTATCGTTATCCATATTTTATGTTTATATTACCACTAATAATGTCACGATTACGCGTAACACGTGAACGGATAACCGCAATTATAAACGCAAACAAAACATCAAGCTGTCCAAGTGTCAGCTGCTTCATATTGTTGCAGTTTTTCGAATAATCAACAGTCACGATTCTTGATTATCCAAAAACGAATACGTTAGGTCAAAAATTTTTAGTAAATCTCGGATTAGGATACGTAATTACGAAATGGCTACGCATATATGCAATCCTCCGTAACGCAAGGGAGAATTCACACCCTGCAGAAAAGTAGGAAGGCAGTTGCCAAATAAAATTCGCGCTGATGGTCAGGTGATGGTCGACAATTTTTTTGTTTATCAGCGCGAGTTCTCATTAGTTTCTGTCTTTTTGTTTTCGCTGCTTTTCTGCTGAGGCATAAATTCTCAATGCTTTAGCATTTTAAGCCAATATGACGTCGGTTAGTGCATACTTAATGTGCAACTCAAGTTTGCACATTTTAATAATCTAATCTTAATCGTGTGGAACAATAATATAATTGTGACAGCAATTTTTTCTTCAAATTAAAAGAATATAAAGAAAACATTTTAACAATTACAAGCATGAGTATACCTAATATTATAAATATAACCTAACTTAAAAAATGAGACTTAATTGCAAACAAAGTGCGAACAAGCTGCTGATTTTGCAGAAATCTTAAAAATTGTCCAACAGACTTTATCCATCTTATCATCACTTTGTTTGATTGAAATTCTGTAATAGCAAGAAGTCACTTTTCTTTAAAAAAGCATATGATTTAGTAAAAGTAGCTGTATGCTGACAGTAACAAAGCATTGCTATAAAAATATCTGCAAACAATTAAAAAAGTTAAAAATAAAAAATGTATTAACAATTTATTGTTTTAATTGTCTTCCCTTATTCATAGAATATATAAATGCATAATTTTATTTTCCAATTGAATGGATTTTGATCGATCCAGGATCAAGTAATGATGTCATATAAGTTTCTATTAGGCCCGATTCTACCAACGTCGATTAAGCCTTAAACCGCATTTAAACGATTTGAAACAAAGACTTAAACTCAGATCAAGGCTCAATCGACGGTGGAATCGGGCCTTAGTCAATCACAGAAATTATAAAGCTTGAATTGATCGCTCGCGAATCGATCAGATCCGTTCAGTTGAAAATTGAAGTTGCTATTAGAATATACCGCGCATTCGCCAAAATGGCGCCATAATTGCGGTACTTTGTTATATCTAGTGACTTCACGACACGCTGAATCGGAATAACTCGACGAAATAACTCGCTCGCTCGATTCGAAACGCTGCAAGTTCACGTTCGCGAATTACAACGCATTCCGTGCGCTCGAACGATCTATCGTGCTGAAGGTATCGCATCTCTCGCTCTCTCGCGAATACGGAATTCGAGGCAATTAGAAAGAAACAACGGCTGTAGCAGCCGGCCGACCGACGGGTGGCAGTTATACGAACAATGCTCGATTTATATGTTGGGTGCATAGATCGAGCAACTTTCTAGTCGCGTGTTGCCAAGTAGCTAGTAAATCGCTCTCGGCGCTCCGGTCTAACGACTATCGCGCGGGCCGTGTGCAATAACAAATAATGTTGACCTAGAAAGATAAAAAAGCCGCTTTTATCTTCGTTCGGTCGCGTATCTCTCTCCGTGCGAAAGACCGTATTCACGGGTAACGAGGCACAATCGTGAAGAAGTATCGTTTTCCCTGCCGAATACACCTCACATTCCCATTATCGATCGATCTCGACTACGCAACGATATATGCGCTTTTTTGCTCCTTCCCGACGACTACTACATCGAACAGCAGTGCGCGTTATCGAGAAACGGCGAAAGGAAATCAACCTGCATAAGAAATTTCTTGAGATTTAATTGGAATGCAGTCCGATTCCCCCAAAAGTAATGATAGGTTCTGGTTGGAAGAGCAGCGTTTCAAACATGCGACTCTGGTGGTATCCATACAAGAGATGTTTGGAAAATACGCGGCCTAATACGCGAAATTAGCGCTATAGAACAGGGAGGATTACATAAAGAAAAAGTGAAACGTATTATAGAATACGCGTTTAAAAAATTTATACGTGCAAAAGAATTTAAAATAATTGTACATGATATAGATCTTCGTCGATGGGCCTTGCAAGCGAAAATAACTGAGGATTTAAGTCATTTGAAGCTATACGTACATATGGCTTTGAAACTTAAAAAAAGAATTTTGTCAAACATTTACGAGGGTGGTCTGAAAAGTTTCCGACCTAACAAAGATACAAGTCATTTTTTCTGAAAATTGTTTTTTATTTTTCAACATAGTCTCCTTGTAAATCTACACACTTCTCCCAGCGATGCTCCCATCTCTGTAACCCGTCGAAATAGTACTCGGCGTTTTTCTCTGCAAAATAATTGTTCACGAAGGTGATTGCCTCTTCATTTGACGAAAATCTCTGTCCTCCGAGCGCAATTTTTAGATGAGGGAACAAAAAGAAGTCGCTTGGGGCTAGATCTGGTGAGTAAGGTGGATGGTCAAGCAGTTCAAACCGTAATTCGTGGATT